GGCTTCTGTATTTGAACCTTTGGTTTCATTCGGCACGTGAGTGGCCCCACCCACAGCAGGGGGCAACTCTTGACCTGCTAATACTACAAAGGGGGTTAATGTAGTCCAAATGTAATGTAGTGAGGTTGCTTTCAGATCAGTTCTGTGTATTTTTTGACATGTGTTTCTGCTTAGCAAACCACCACTGAATTTACAACTGTTAGAAGAAGACACATACATGAAGGAACACAAGTGAACTGTTCATGTGGAATCTAAATTTTGAGAACTCCATGCTCTACTGTTGATGAATTGTATAACTCTGTCCACCACCAAGTGTTCTGACTGTTTCCTGTGACGCCATTGCTGCCTGTGACGTTAAAATAGTTTACCAGTACAAAAAAGGCCCCATGACAAAGGCAGACTCGGTTAGGGCACAGAAGCAAGAGTGCCCGGAGGGCCGAACGGAAGTGGCGAATCCAATTTCCAGGGCGATTATGAAATCTGTTAAGATGAGTTGGGTGAATTTAACCGGTCTACGTAAACAAGAGAAATGTATTTTTCTGACATTATTAAGGAGGTTGAGTAACAATTTTCCGTGTTATGTTTTTCAACATTGTTGATTACGACCCCCCTGTAAAGTTTGCCCCTAGAGATTTTTTCCTCTAAATCTAGTGTAATGAGTTCGCACACAGTTTTTCGATGACAAAGTACAAGGAATCAAAAACACTATCACCTCACAGCACGATAACAATGCAAACATCCGAGAAGCTTTTTTGAGCTGTAACTCACTTTGCACCTGTGGATACTAAACGGTCAAAAAGATAATCATGAGTCTGAGCTCCTCACATTACCTGGATATATTGCCCTCTAAATTTCTGAAGTCCGTCCCTGAGCAGTTTGTTACCTTCACTGACACAAATAGTAAACAAGTTCTCTGTCGTCAGGGAACAATTTCCTAGGCCCTAAAAACAGCAGTCCATAATAACCTCTCCTAAAAAAGAGCAGCTCTGGATCCTGGCGCGACACTTCAAAATTATCCGCCGCCATATCGAATCTGCATTTATTGGAAAATTCTGAAAAAGTGGCCTCCCAACAACTGTACTGAATTTTAACAATGAATAATTCTTTTGATATGTTTCCATGTCTGGGTTTAGACCCCACCACAGCACTGAGAAACCCGCTCTAGTGAAGGTAACAAAACGACATTCGACTTCAAACTGATGCAGTTAAAGTCACAGTTTTGGGTCCATGTTAGATCTTAGTGCCGCGTTCGACACCGTCGACCAGGTGATCCCTCATCGCAGAGACTGGAGTCTGGGCTGGTGTCACTGGCACAGCCCTAGACTGGTTTAGGTCTTACCTGGAGATAGGAAGTACTCTGGGAGATTGGAGACTGCGCTCAGATATGTGGCCGCTGACCTGTGGTGTACCACAGGTCGATTCCTGACCTCGTCCTATTTAATCTTCTACATCACCCGTTAGGTCATTATTTAATACAAAGAAACAAAGTGTCCTACCACAAGTATACGCTGACGACACTCCGATCTATGTCTCACTGACTGCAGGAGAACATGGCCCACTGGAGTTGCTCCTGTCACTGTATTCCCAACAGATCAGTGACTAGGATGCAAAATTAAATTCCTCCAGCTAAATGCGAAGACAAAACCAAATCCATTGTCTTTGGTCCCCAGAAACAAGAGAAGGGCGTCATTTGTCACTTCAGTCTCTCTCCCTACTTCCTCAGACAAGGGTCAGAAATTTGGGGGTAATACTCGGACTCAGACCTAAATTTCATTAGCCACATAAAATCAATTAACATCACAGCTTTTTTACCATCTGAAGAACATTGCCAAAGTTAGAAATATTGTGTTCCAGGGCAGACTTGGAGATTGTCTTGTCCATAGGCGATTTGTCCCAGCAGGCTAGACTAATACTGCAATGGCCTGCTTTACAGGTCTGTCCAACAGACCTGTAAGCAGCTCAGTACATCCCAAGAAATGCAGACAGCTAGAGTCCGACAGGAACCAGGAATATGACCATATTAGTCCGGTCCTCAGGTCCTCTGCACTGGTCCTGGCTCAGAGAAAGATTTTAAAACGGCTCTGCATGTGTACAAGTCTCTCCAGGCCTTGCACCAATTACATTAGTTGACATGTTGGTGTCATATGAACCGGCACCGGACTCTGAGGACACAGGGACTGGCCTCCTGCTGGTGCCCAGAGTGAGAACCAAACATGGGGAGGCTTGCGTTTCAGATCCAGGCAGCTAAGATCTGGAAACAATCTCCCTGAAAATGGTAGGAGGCGTCTACTCTGTCAATGTTCAAATCCAGGTTAAAGACTGTGTCTGTTTGCCTGTGCATATAACTGAAGATTTTATCTCCATTTTTAATGCACAGCTGGTCATTTATGTATTTTTTTTTAAATTTCTTGTGTAATTTTGAAAGTTTTAATGGTTATTCTTTTGTGTGAATTTTAATGTTTAAAATTGTGTTTTTATCTTTTGTGTGATTAAATGTTTTTAAATTGTGATTCTGGTGTTTGTTTTATGTGAGGATTTGTGATGTGGACATGTGAAGCGCTTTGGTTTGCCCTGTGTATGAAAGGGCGCTCTACAAAATAAAACTTTGATTGATTGATTGATATTAATAAATGCACGGTATTGATCAATTGAGGGCTAGACTGCAAATGGTTGTTCAAGCCACGCCCACGTCTGCGAACTAGTTGAGTGTTTGACGGGTTGCGATCCATGATGTTGTCACCCTGCGTGCCTTTACCGTGACTCGGACCTTGGGAACAATAAACGTTGTAAAAACGACTATTTTGGTATTTGTTTCTGGTCCTTAAGAGTGCAAACACGAATCTTGGTGTTTCTGCTTCGTTGGAGATCGCATGGGAACGCGCTGTTTGTGGAAAAGAAGCATAGTTTGGGAGTTTTATACGCTCAAGCCACCCAGCCTGGCATGGCCAGAAGCGCAAATCAGCGCACTCACTGATACTGAAGCTGTTTACCTGTACGCTACGGTAAAAACATTTACACATTATGTCTACTACAAGTCGGAGATGTCGGAGAGTTGGAGAATGCAATGGACGGATTTGAGGAAAATCTAATGACTTTGTCTGCTGCGAATTATATATCTTTTGTTCAATCTTGGGGAGCATCTTGAGTGAAGAGGACAAGGGAGACCCTTACCATCGTGCAATGAGGACTATCATTAACAGAATCAGGAAGAGAGAAGATGTTGTCCTCGCCTCGAGGATGAAGGATTATCGTTGGTTGCTCATAGTTACTGGACCGAATTGATGAATTAAAGAGTGTACCCTCACTACTCTGCTAGCGCCAGCTCTCCCTCTGCTGGATACAGCAGGTACTGCATCCACATACCCAAAGTGCACTGCTGCATACCCACTAATTCAGGTGCCGTTTCCAATGTGACTATGACTCCATTTAAATGCCAACCCACCATTTGTGCACCAAATTTACATAAAAGAACTAACGTTAAGGGACAGATTGGTGAACCACATCAAAAAGGCAAACTTGGATAAATTCCCATTTGGAGAGTCAAATCCAAATAGCACTAAATAAAGGTTACAGTGAGTCGGACAGAACTGGAACTCCAGGGAGACACCAATTCAGTTTGTGCTCGTAGCAATGACTTAAGACGGCAAATTTTAGTTTGCATCCGAAAGGGGCCGAAAGTGGAACTCAAATACAGCCCGGATTTAATCAAAGATCAATTCTTGGCAACTGTTACTTACGAGGCTGATTGACACACAAACCATAAGAACTGATTTAGAAGCCATATCTTACAGATTCAAATGTGTCTGAAAGTGCGTTGGAGAAAGTTACAGAGCATACACCACTGGAATGAATGAAAAAACCAATTAGCCGACGAGTCACAGAGCAGTGATAATTTCCCTGCAATTGGGGGAGGACCATTTACAATTAACAGGGAGAGCACAGCCCCAACTCCAACCATAACCAAGCCCAGTGAACCCCCCAAAACGTGAGAACTTGACTGGAAAAAGTGGAATCAAAGGCAAATAAAGCAATCTTGTGAACTATACAACAACTGTCACACAGCTCTCCCAGCCTCCAGCAAGCCCAAAGAACCCCCACCACCACAACGAGATCCTAACCACCCGGCCGGGCAGGAACTTCTCAGGCAACGCCCAGTGACCCCCGGAAGTGTCCTCATTGGCCAGACAACCAATCCCTCAAGGCATGTAACCACAGTTTTAAATGTGGCAGTTCTGTCCACTGGGCTATTTGGCTGTCCGTAAAGTCCCATTGTTTCAGCAGCCACTGTCTAATAAAATTGACGACTTTGGTACATCTTGTAAGACTGGATTGCCCAGTTCAACCAGACAGAGCCCCTCCAGATTCAGATTCATTTTATTACCCATGTGCAGGTATAAAAACTACATTGGAATACAGTTGCAAAAAAAGGTACGCTGTGTGCACCACAGACCAAATAGCACATACAATGTAAATAAATACACAAAGACTGAAAATAAAAGAATAAAAAATACAGCTGCACTGTGGCACCGATCAACAAAAACGATTCAAGGGTAAAAGCAGGAAATAAAGTTCCTCTGTTAGCGAGATGTCTTTGCATCTCAGCGACCGACAATCTTCTGCAGAGGGAAGAAGCTGGAACAATGGCTTTCCCTGGGTGGCCAGAAGAAGATAGTGGAGTTTCAGAGACCAGAGAGGGACCAGAGAGAGACCAGAGAGAGACCAGAGAGAGACCAGAGAGAGACCAGAGAGAGACCAGAGAGAGACCAGAGAGAGAGACCAGAGAGAGAGACCAGAGAGAGACCAGAGAGAGAGACCAGAGAGAGAGACCAGAGAGAGAGAACGAGCCAGAGAGAGACCAGAGAGAGACCAGAGAGAGAGACCAGAGAGAGAGACCAGAGAGAGACCAGAGAGATGCGGCCCGAGTGAGTGAGGCATTTAGCATGTAGCCTAGCCTTTAGCATTTAGCCTAGCTTTAGCCCCGCGGTATCGCGTTTTACTCAATGCCACAGACGCTCGTTACTACTTCCGGGGTGAGCTTCTCAGACACGCTCCACGTCCGCTCATTCATTTCAATGGGAAATCACGATGTTTGAGCTGCTTTCACTGCACACGCTCAGAGCAGAGCTGATCAGGAAGCTGCAGAGGGGGTGCCAAGAGAACCACTGCACAAACCAAGTCCAGAGAAGCTACTTAAGAAAGCTGGTTGTCACTCACAGAATAATGTTGAACAGAATAACGTTGAGGCGACTTTTAGTGTCTCTGGGGTTCTCACATTTAGATTGCGTCGGCACTAGATCATAAACGGAATCAGGACAAAACCGGAAGTAGCAATCCTACTTTCGAATTAGTTTTAGACTAATAAGTCCTTAAATGGTGACTGGTTAAGTTTTAGGTGTCTGGGTAAGATGGTTAAGGTTAGGGTTAAGGCTGGGTTGGGGTTATTTTATGGGAATGGATGGTTAAGTTTAGGCATGAATAGGTAGTTTGTTATATTTACTTCCACTTCCGTCCCGATTCCGTATATGATCTAGTGCTGACCGTTTAGATTGCGTCCCATATGCACATGTTCTGGTCACGTGACTTGTTCCACTTGTTCCGTTAGACCAGTCTCTATCCTCCGCCTCTCTCTCCTCCGCCTCTCTCTCCTCCGCCTCTCTCTCCTCCGCCTCTTCCTCTCCTCCGCCTCTCTCTCCTCCTCCGCCTCTCTCTCCTCCGCCTCTCTCTCTCTCTCCGCCTCTCTCTCCTCCGCCTCTCTCTCCTCCGCCTCTCTCTCCCTCCGCCTCTCTCTCCTCCCCCTCTCCCTCCTCGCCTCTCTCTCCTCCGCCTCTCTCTCCTCCGCCTCTCTCCTCCTCCGCCTCTCTCTCCTCCGCCTCCCCTCCTCCGCCTCTCTCCCTCCGCTCCCTCTCCGCCTCTCTCTCCTCCGCCTCTCTCTCCTCCGCCTCTCTCTCCTCCGCCTCTCCTCCTCCGCCTCTCTCTCCTCCGCCTCTCTCTCCTCCGCCTCTCCCTCCTCCGCCTCTCTCTCCTCCGCCTCCCCTCCTCCGCCTCTCTCTCCTCCGCCTCTCTCTCCTCCGCTCTCTCTCCTCCTCCTCTCTTCTCCTCCGCCTCTCTCCTCCGCCTCTCCCTCCTCCGCCTCTCTCTCCTCGCCTCTCCCTCCTCCGCCTCTCTCTCTCTCCTCCGCCTCTCTCTCCTCCGCCTCTCTCTCCTCCGCCTCTCTCTCCTCCGCCTCTCCCTCCTCCGCCTCTCCCTCCTCCGCCTCTCCCTCCTCCGCCTCTCTCTCTCCTCCGCCTCTCCTCCTCCGCCTCTCCCTCCTCCGCCTCTCCTCCTCCGCCTCTCTCTCCTCCGCCTCTCTCTCCTCCGCCTCTCCTCTCCTCCGCCTCTCCCTCCTCCGCCTCTCTCCTCCTCCGCCTCTCTCTCCTCCGCCTCTCTCTCCTCCCGCCTCTCTCTCCTCCGCCTCTCTCCTCCTCCGCCTCTCTCTCCTCCGCCTCTCTCCTCCTCTCTCTCCTCCGCCTCTCCCTCCTCCGCCTCTCTCTCCTCCGCCTCTCTCTCCTCCGCCTCTCCCTCCTCCGCCTCTCTCTCCTCCGCTCTCCCTCCTCCGCCTCTCTCTCCTCCGCCTCTCTCTTCTCCGCCTCTCTCTCCTCCGCCTCTCTCTCCTCCGCCTCTCCCTCCTCCGCCTCTCCCTCCTCCGCCTCCCTCTCCTCCGCCTCTCCCTCCTCCGCCTCTCTCTCCTCCGCCTCTCTCTCCTCCGCCTCTCTCTCCTCCGCCTCTCTCTCCTCCGCCTCTCTCTCCTCCGCCTCTCTCTCCTCCGCCTCTCTCTCCTCCCGCCTCCCCTCCTCCGCCTCTCCCTCCTCCGCCTCTCTCTCCTCCGCCTCCCCTCCTCCGCCTCTCTCTCCTCCGCCTCTCTCTCCTCCGCCTCCCCTCCTCCGCCTCTCTCTCCTCCGCCTCTCTCTTCTCCGCCTCTCTCTCCTCCGCCTCTCTCTCCTCCGCCTCTCCCTCCTCCGCCTCTCCCTCCTCCGCCTCCCCTCCTCCGCCTCTCCCTCCTCCGCCTCTCCCTCCTCCGCCTCTCTCTCCTCCTCCGCCTCTCTCTACTCCGCCTCTCCCTCCTCCGCCTCTCCCTCCTCCGCCTCTCTCTCCTCCGCCTCCCCTCCTCCGCCTCTCTCTCCTCCGCCTCTCTCTCCTCCGCCTCTCTCTCCTCCGCCTCTCTCTCCTCCGCCTCTCTCTCCTCCGCCTCCCACACTGCACCTAAAGTGTGACGTTTTATCTTTTATATAAGGAGCACATTGGAAAGCAGCAGTCAAAGTTTGTTCGTGTCATGGAATACAAATGTTATAGGATTGTATACCGACTCTTCTGGAGTTTTATAGATTTTTTTTCGTCTTCCCCTTAACAAAACTTCTCTCGAGAGAATACAGAGTCTGTACTTTCCCTGGAAAAGTACACGCTAACTGGTGAATGTATGGCAAATATAGCTTCACACTATAGTCTTGTGAGATTGTTACTTTGTTGATGGAGCGGACTATACAGACTCTAAGACACAGGTCAGAATACAAAGTAGTAGTAGTAGTAGTAGTTGTAGAAGCAGTAGTAAGAATAGTAGTAAAAGTAGTAAAGGTACCAATAGTAGAAGTAGTAGTAGTAGTAGTAGCCATTGTAGTAGTAGCTGTTGTAGCAGTAGCGATAGTAGCAGTATTTGATGGTAGCTCCTTAGTAGTAGTAGTAGTAGCAGTTGTAGTAGATGTTATAACAGTAGTAGTAGCAGTAGTAGTAGTAGAAGTTGTAGTAGTAGCAGTAGTAGTAGTAGTAGCAGTAGTAGTAGAAGTTGTAGTAGTAGCAGTAGTAGTAGTAGTAGCAGATGTTATAGCAGTAGTAGTAGCAGTAGTAGTAGTAGAAGTTGTAGTAGTAGCAGTAGTAGTAGTAGTAGCAGTAGTAGTAGAAGTTGTAGTAGTAGCAGTAGTAGTAGTAGTAGCAGATGTTATAGCAGTAGTAGTAGCAGTAGTAGTAGTAGTAGCAGATGTTATAGCAGTAGTAGTAGCAGTAGTAGTAGTAGTAGTAGTAGTAGCAGTAGTAGAAGTTGTAGCAGTAGTAGTAGTAGTAACAGTAGTAGTAGCAGTAGCAGTAGTAGAAGTTGTAGCAATAGTAGTAGCAGTAGCAGTAGTAAAAGTTGTAGAAGTAGCAGTATTAGTAGTAGTAGTAGAAGTTGTAGTCGTAGATGTTATAGTAGTAGTAGCAGTAGTAGTAGTAGTAGCAGTAGTAGAAGTTGTAGTAGCAGCAGCAGTAGCAGTAGTAGAAGTTGTAGTCGTAGATGTTATAGTAGTAGTATAGTAGCAGCAGTAGCAGTACTAATAGCTGTAGCTCTTGAAGTATTAGTAGTAGTAGTTTTCATTACATTTCCATAATCCACACTACAATTTAAAAAAAAATTTTGATTCAAGATTTTAGTTTAAAGCCTACAATAAAAAGAATAATCGTTTACACAAATGTAAGATAGAATAGCTCGGCGAAGGTTCACTCTGGTAGACTGACTGCCACAGCTATCCCCTCCTCCGCCTCTCTCTCCTCCGCCTCTCTCTCCTCCGCCTCTCTCTCCTCCGCCTCTCCCTCCTCCGCCTCTCTCTCCTCCGCCTCTCCCTCCTCCGCCTCTCCCTCCTCCGCCTCTCTCTCCTCCGCCTCTCTCTCCTCCGCCTCTCCCTCCTCCACCTCCCCTCCTCCGCCTCTCCCTCCTCCGCCTCTCCCTCCTCCGCCTCTCTCTCCTCCGCCTCTCTCTCCTCCGCCTCCCCTCCTCCGCCTCTCCTCCTCCGCCTCCCCTCCTCCGCCTCTCTCTCCTCCGCCTCCCCTCCTCCGCCTCCCTCTCCTCCGCCTCCCCTCCTCCGCCTCCCCTCCTCCGCCTCTCTCTCCTCCGCCTCTCTCTCCTCCGCCTCTCTCTCCTCCGCCTCTCTCTCCTCCGCCTCTCTCTCCTCCGCCTCTCTCTCCTCCGCCTCTCTCTCCTCCGCCTCTCTCTCCTCCGCCTCTCTCTCCTCCGCCTCTCTCTCCTCCGCCTCTCTCTCCTCCGCCTCTCTCTCCTCCGCCTCTCCCTCCTCCGCCTCTCTCTCCTCCGCCTCTCTCTCCTCCGCCTCTCTCTCCTCCGCCTCTCTCTCCTCCGCCTCTCTCTCCTCCGCCTTCCTGCTGCCCTAATGCCACCACCAGTTCCTAGGCCTCGGGGGGATCATGCGCGCACTCAGCAGGAGCCCCGCTGGCCCTAATTGCCGCACGGGGGCCTAGGACGCCAAACTACCTATCAACAAAAACTTTCAAACTGCATTTTGTCTTCTGAGTCTCTCCAGATTGAACTGCCAGAATCACTGATGGCGGGAGTTATTTTACTGACCATGTCTTCAGCAAAAGTGGTAACATTCATCCATCCATCCATTTTCTTCCGCTTCATCCGTTGCCGGGTAATGTACATGTGTAACACGTGCTAAAGTTGCACTCGTCTCGTTGGTTGCCATGGTTACCGTAAGTGCGTGCTTCCACATCAAAGTGAACCCATAACAGTCCCAGCAGAGCCATGTGTTTTGGGGCTGTGAGATTCCAGACTCTGGATTCTTCTGAACGACAAAATCTCTGTAATTCTGCCACAAATAGTGAGACGCTGCCGGAGTCACGGTCGATAGCCCACGATCGGAACACAGGAAGTGCTCAATACACAACCGTTATTCCACACACGACACTTTCAAAGTCCTACAGTAGACCAGGTTTACAGTACCATCGGTTACAGTACCATCGGTTACAGTACCATCGTTTACAGTACCATCGTTTACAGTACCATCGGTTACAGTACCATCGTTTACAGTACCATCGTTTACAATACCATCGTTTATAGTACCATTGTTTACAGTACCATCGTTTACAGTACCATCGTTTACACTACCATCGGTTACAGTACCATCGGTTACAGTACCATCGTTTACAGTACCATCGTTTACAGTACCATCGGTTACAATACCATCGTTTACAGTACCATCGGTTACAATACCATCGGTTACAATACCATCGTTTACAGTACCATCGTTTACAGTACCATCGTTTACAGTACCATCGGTTACAGTACCATCGTTTACAGTACCATTGTTTACAGTACCATCGTTTTTAGTACCATCGTTTACAGTACCATTGTTTACACTACCATCGTTTACAGTACCATTGGTTAGAGTACCATCGTTTACAGTACCATCGTTTACAGTACCATTGTTTACAGTACCATCGGTTACAGTACCATCGTTTACAGTACCATCGCACTCTGATTGTGGCAACTTGGTGATTTTTTGGCTCTCTGATGTATTTGTCATGCCTGTGCTACACATGGACACTGGTCTCTGCCATGGATCTATAATAATATTTGGATAGTAACTAGCTTATTGCTGTCCCATCCATGGGCACAGGGGGCGCTGTGGTCCTGCAGACTGAATTCATGTGAGCCACACAGAAAAAAGTCCCACAGAACTCAATGTAAACTAAAACTGCTCGACCTCAGCTGACAGAGAACCTGACAGAGAACCTGACAGAGAACCTGACAGAGAACCTGACAGAGAACCTGACAGAGAATCTGACAGAGAACCTACAGCTTTCATAAAGGTCGGATTTTGGGGGAGTTTTAGTGTTTCTACATTTTACTGCAACAAACCCTGCTCGTTTGGCTCCTGCTCTAGCTCCGCTGCTCTGATCACAAGCCGCTGATTGGTCAACGCACGCGTATTTGGTGCAAAGCATCATGGGAGCTCGTCCACAGTGCAGAACTGGGAGGACCAGAGGAGGCCCAAATATGGGAGAGTTCCGCTAATCTCTCGGTCCTCATGTATGTGGGAAGGATCAGCGAGAGACCGGTGCTGTGAGCAAAAAGGAATGAATAATAATAATACTACTACTACTACTACTTACAACTACTACAACTTACTACTACAAATACTACTGCTGCTAGAACTACTACAACTACTACTACTTCTTCTACTACTGTTTGGAAGTTTGTTGTTCCCAGTCGTCCCCCGCTGCCTGGAGTCCTGATGGTAGCCTCATTGCTAATGGCAGATCGCTCTCTCCGATAAACAGCTCGGGTGCATTAGCGTAGCGTTAGCGTTAGCCTCGTCTAGCTGTAATTGCTAATCTGCAGTAATGCGGCGGCTGTCAGCGCTGCCTGCATGAAAGCGTGTGTTAAAAGTACAGCTCAAACAGACTAATCAATGCGCCCCCTCTGAGCCTTTGTTTTTCAGTCGAGATAATGGCCATTCATGTTGTTTTTAGACAATCAAGACGCCTTTTGTTGCGGGATGTGAAAAGCCGGGAGACCGTACACAATCCCAAGAGATGGTTTCAAAGATGTTAACTCCAAGCTATTCCAGCAATTGTTTTTTTTTTTATCTGTAATTGGTTTTCATATTTATTTTAGTTATTTTCCCGCAGACAGCTCAAAGTGACACTGATGATTTGGTTTGAATTCATTACAATGAATTAGAAACAGTTTTAGTGGTTATTCAAACAACTGGAGGGAATTTGTGGGTTTTTATGTCCACGATTTGAACAAATAAATGTGGATTCTGTAAAGTGGATCAATGTTTTTTTGAGTTAGACGCCAACCAGAATATTATAGCGTGTTTACTTATTTTCAGGTTTGAAATGAAATATGAGAACAACTTGATGATTAAAAAAAAATATATGCATTTGCGGTTTGCTAATGAGCTTTTTTTGGAGCTTCTTTGTGGAAAATATTGTGAAAAAAGTATTGTTCCTTGTCTGACTTTTGTAGATTTATAACCTTCGCCGAACCGACACAAAATAATTTCTCGGTTATAAATCTGTTTTATTGTCTTGGCAAAAGACTAGGTCAGAAGGCCGGTTAGATTCTGAATGTTCTATCTATAATGTGTATATAATGGACAGAGTCTGTTCTCCCGTACGACGATTTTGAGGCCGGAGCTGCCGTGAGTGGCCCCTCCCACAGGAAAAACTGAAAAAAGTATAAAGTGCTTTCAAAGTGGATGTGCCAAGTTTCACAAATAATGCAGATGATGCTGGACTTTAACAATCCACAGGGACTAAACAGACCTGGTTCAAATAAAAGTACCCCCCATGGTATTGACACACATGTGGAGCGTTGGGTCAAGAGCAGTTTGGGCGGGTCCCGGCTCCAAAAGGTCCATGAGCACGTGCACTGACATGAAGCAATCTCCCTCCTTGCCGGTGGGGGTGTACCCGGAAAGAGAATTACCCAATGTTTTATTTTTTTGGGATCTTTTGCAGTTTAGATGTATTACCGGTGGCTGAGTGGATAGCACTCTCGCCTCTCAGCAAGAAGGTCCTGGGTTCGAATCCCGGCCGGACCAGGGCCTTTCTGAGTGGAGTTTGCATGTTCTCCCCGTGTCTGCGTAGGTTTCCTCCGGGTACTCCGGTTTCCTCCGGGTACTCCGGTTTCCTCCGGGTACTCCGGTTTCCCCTACCACTAAAAATATGTACAATAGGTCTGGCATGCGCCTCCTGTTCGGCGACCCCGCTCCCATCTCTGTGTGGAGTGAGAAACAAGTGCCCAAAAAAAATAACAATTGTAAACCGCTTTGTGACTCTGGTCTGTGAAAGGCGGTATATAAATAAAAGCTTACTTACTTACTTACTTACCTTGTTCACATGTTTCAGTTGCGAGCAATCTTAGAACTGTCACCTGCTTTGGTGACATTTATAATCAGCTGATGTGACTTCCAGAGGTGACATCTGCAGCTGAAACATGTTAACAAGGTAACACATCTAAACTTGTCTTTCAAAAGGACCATAAAAAAGCATTTTAACTCAAAACAAAATGAACCTTTTCAAATCAGAATTACAGAATGATTTTGTACGCCGCCTTTTTGCTCTCGAAACCGTCATTACAAGATTGTCCAAAAGTCACTCTTGGTCCAAAGCTACGTTCGACGATGCTGAGGGGAGTATGTATTTTTGGACCAGTCTAGTTTAGCCGCTGTGGACTTATGAATGCACTCGTTAAATGATTGGGGCTAGTGCAGCTAACACATTTTCCTGCCCCACGACCATTTTGAAAAAGTGGTGGCACATTAGTTTCAACGGCAAAGATAGGAATGACTACATTTGTGAATATGTACAGTCTTTGGTCAAGAGCCAAGTTTTAGGCCGAGCTCTAAAGCCATTTCTGACTCATGGAAAGTCACTCTAAGCTTTCACAGTCTGTCTCTGCTTCCCAAGTCCAAACTACAGCCATGGAGCCGGACTGCAGAGACGACAGACGACCACTGCCACTGGTTTTACTTGTTTGCTTGTTAAATTCCCTGTGTTTTTTCTCAGTGTGAATGAGGCTTTAGAGAGCAAGTAGAAGCATGATCTGTCTCCTTTAAAATCACCGAAGGGTTATTTTTACTTCCAGAACCTTGAGGTAAGCCGGCACTTCACAGCCCCCCATGCAGGAGGTGTGGAACAAGCAAACACACCGATCAGAAAGACCTTGAGAGGCTCGTCCAAAATAGTCATCCTTTCTATCTGGTATCCGACAGGCAGTGGGATGTCAGTTTTCTCGATGCAGTAGAAGTTTGCTCTGACCCGGTTTGCTCTGAGGTGAAAGTAAGTCATGTCGCGGCATCTGTTTTTCCTCCTCAGCAGCTGTCGACACACACCTCACTTATGAATACATTACTTTGTCTGCGCAGCCGCGGAGCCAGACGCCCGGGATGATTTAGAGCACCACTTAACATGCATTTGGAGTGTTTGTTCCCTGTGTCTGCAGGAGGAAGTGATACATGCTGGAGGAAGTGAGACGTGCAGGAGGAAGTGAGACGTGCAGGAGGAAGTGAGGCGTGCAGGAGGAAGTGAGACGAGCAGGAGGAAGTGATACATGCTGGAGGAAGTGAGACGTGCAGGAGGAAGTGAGACGTGCAGGAGGAAGTGAGGCGTGCAGGAGGAAGTGAGACGTGCAGGAGGAAGTGAGGCGTGCAGGAGGAAGTGAGGCATGCAGGAGGAAGTGAGGCGTGCAGGAGGAAGTGAGGCGTGCAGGAGGAAGTGAGACGAGCAGGAGGAAGTGAGACGTGCAGGAGGAAGTGAGGCATGCAGGAGGAAGTGAGACGTGCAGGAGGAAGTGAGACATGCAGGAGGAAGTGAGACATGCAGGAGGAAGTGAGACGTGAAGGAGGAAGTGAGACGTGCAGGAGGAAGTGAGACATGCAGGAGGAAGTGAGGCGGTGCAGGAATAAGTGAGGCGTGCAGGAGGAAGTGAGGCGTGCAGGAGGAAGTGAGACGAGCAGGAGGAAGTGAGACGTGCAGGAGGAAGTGAGGCATGCAGGAGGAAGTGAGACGTGCAGGAGGAAGTGAGACATGCAGGAGGAAGTGAGACATGCAGGAGGAAGTGAGACGTGAAGGAGGAAGTGAGACGTGCAGGAGGAAGTGAGACATGCAGGAGGAAGTGAGGCGTGCAGGAATAAGTGAGGCGTGCAGGAGGAAGTGAGGCGTGCAGGAGGAAGTGAGACGTGCAAGAGGAAGTGAGACGTGAGTGCAGGAGGAAGTGAGACGTGCAGGAGGAAGTGAGACGTGCAGGAGGAAGTGAGGCGTGCAGGAGGAAGTGATACATGCTGGAGGAAGTGAGACGTGCAGGAGGAAGTGAGACGTGCAGGAGGACGTGAGACGCGCAGGAGGAAGTGAGACGTGCAGGAGGAAGTGAGACGTGCAGGAGGAGGTGAGACGTGCTGGAGGAAGTGAGACGTGCAGGAGGAAGTGAGACGTGCAGGAGGAAGTGAGACGTGCAGGAGGAGGAAGTGAGGCGTGCAGGAGGAAGTGAGACATGCAGGAGGAAGTGAGACGTGCAGGAATAAGTGAGGCGTGCAGGAGGAAGTGAGGCGTGCAAGAGGAAGTGAGACGTGCAGGAGGAAGTGAGACGTGCAGGAGGAAGTGAGACGTGCAGGAGGAAGTGAGGCGTGCAGGAGGAAGTGATACATGCTGGAGGAAGTGAGACGTGCAGGAGGAAGTGAGACGTGCAGGAGGACGTGAGACGTGCAGGAGGAAGTGAGACATGCAGGAGGAAGTGAGACATGCAGGAGGAAGTGAGACGTGCAGGAGGAAGTGAGACGTGCAGGAGGAAGTGATACATGCTGGAGGAAGTGAGACGTGCAGGAGGAAGTGATACATGCTGGAGGAAGTGAGACGTGCAGGAGGAAGTGAGGAGACGTGCAGGAGGACGTGAGACGTGCAGGAGGAAGTGAGACATGCAGGAGGAAGTGAGACGTGAAGGAGGAAGTGAGACGTGCAGGAGGAAGTGAGACGTACAGGAGGAAGTGAGACGTGCAGGAGGAAGTGAGACGTGCAGGAGGAAGTGAGACATGCAAGAGGAAGTGAGACACACAGGAGGAAGTGAGACACGAAGGAGAGAGTGAGACACGCAGGAGGAAGTGAGACGTGAAGGAGGAAGTGAGACGTGCAGGAGGAAGTGAGACATGCAGGAGGAAGTGAGACATGCAGGAGGAAGTGAGACATGCAGGAGAGAGTGAGACATGCAGGAGGAAGTGAGACATGCAGGAGGAAGTGAGACATGCAGGAGGAAGTGAGACATGCAGGAGAGAGTGAGACATGCAGGAGGAAGTGAGACATGCAGGAGGAAGTGAGACGTGCAGAAGGAAGTGAGACGTGCAGGAGGAAGTGAGACATGCAGATAAGGGCGTGATGTCTGAGTGACAAGAAGCCCATGTGTGGTTCCTCATTTAACTTCATTTTGGAAAGTTGCTTTGTCACTTATATCTGTGAGTGGCTTTATCTGTGTAGAGACTTTAAAACTTCTCTGTTTGTTACAAGTCTCTACACGGCCTCGAACCAAAGTACATCTGGGACATGATAGAGCCATATGAACCAACTTAGAGGAGCACAGGGACTGGCCTCCTGCTGGGACTCTGAGGAGCACAGGGACTGGGCTCCTGCTGGGACTCTGAGCCAGGACTAAACATGGGGACTTGCATGCAAAAGCCAGATCCCATCAGACCTCTGAAGCTGTGCAGGGAAGATCCTGGTTGGTGCTGTGATGGGAGACCTCTGGGAACAGCAGGTGCCACAGTGGGGCGGCTGTGGCTGTAAAGTGCCAAACTGTGGATGTGTCCTTAGGCAAGACACTTCCCCCACATTAGAATGAGTCTGGTGGTGGTGGGAGGGGCCGATGGCACAGACTGGTTGCTTCACTACTGTCAGGGCAGCTGCGGCCACAGTAGTAAATGAAAGGATAATGGCATGTTTATTGTCTTTGAGCCTCCAACAAAGCTCTATATAGAACTGATGCGTTGTTAACTGGGATAATTCATTGTTGTGTGTAATCTACAACACTGCCGACCGGTCACACAACTTGTTCTCTGACTAAACACAACACAACGCCAGCGACAAACCCACATATCCTCAGTGTGACGGAGTTTTGCTGATGGACCCCGGGGTAAAATCATCTCTGCAGTTGTTCTGATAGATCACCTCCCAGTATCCAGAGTTTACTCCTCCGCCTCTGATTATAATTGTTGTTTTCATCTCAGTCTTCTCTTTTCCCTAATTTACCCGGTCTGTTCCTTCCTCACAGCTCATGTCCAAATCTAATCAAGCACATATTAAAACGGTGTGTTTGGTCAACATGTGTGTAATGTCGTGTTGATTAGAGCGAGACTAGAACATAAATTAGATTGTGGCAGTAAAAAAGTATTACTTTTTATTATTTTTAGCTTTTCATTCTGTGGCCAATTAGACGGAGGTTATTAGACGCGAGCGGGGGATTCGAACAGGGAGAGATATTTTTTTCACTTTATAAAAAAAATAAATATAAAAAGTGTCACAACATCCCATTATAAGCATTGAATCCTCGCCCAGTGGAGACTCGGAGCCCACAAATCGAAAGAAGAAGTGTGTGGCATTTTGGAAAGGTCTAATTCTTACAATCGTACAACAGCGCTTACGCCGCAAAGGTCTGCAGTGTCAGAGCCCGTCATAGTTGTACTTTTAATGTAGTGAGGCGCTAATAATAACATTGGCAACACAGAGAGAGAGAGAGAGAGAGAGAGAAAAGACAGACAAAAAAGACAGATAGAGAGAGAGAGCGAGAAAGAGATAAAGAGAGAGAGAAAGAGCCAGAGAAGACAGAGATACAGAGAGAGGGAGGTAGAGAGTGAGAGAGAGGGGGAAATACAGAAGAGACGGACAGAGAGAAAGAGAGAGAGAAAAAAGACAGAGAAAAAAGACAGAGCGAGAAAAAAGACTGAGAGAGCGAGAGACGGAGAGATAGAGAGCGAGAGAGAGAAAAGACAGATAGAGAGCGAGAGACGGAGAGATAGAGAGCGAGAGAGAGAAAAGACAGATAGAGAGCGAGAGACGGAGAGATAGAGAGCGAGAGAGAGAAAAGACAGATAGAGAGCGAGAGACAGAGAGATGGAGAGCGAGAGAGAGAAAAGACAGATAGAGAGCGAGAGACGGAGAGATGGAGAGCGAGAGAGAGAAAAGACAGATAGAGAGCGAGAGAGAGAAAAGACAGATAGAGAGCGAGAGAGAGAAAAGACAGATAGAGAGCGAGAGAGGGGGAAATACAGAAGAGACAGACAGAGAGAAAGAGAGAGAGAAAAAAGACAGAGCGAGAAAAAAGACAGAGAGCGAGAGACGGAGAGAGAGAGAGAGAGAGAAGACAGATAGAGAGCGAGAGACGGAGAGAGAGAGAGAGAGAAGACAGATAGAGAGAGAGAGACGGAGAGAGAGAAAGAGAGAAGACAGATACAGAGAGAGGGAGGTAGAGAGTGAGAGAGGGGGAAATACAGAAGAGACAGAGAGAGAGAAAGAGATAGACAGAGATAGAGGGAAAGACAAAGAGAGAGACAGACAGCGAGGAAGACAGGGCGAGAGAGAGAGAGAGTGAGTATGTTTGTCTGTATGTTTGCGTGTGTGTGTCTGTGTGTGCGTGTGTGTGTCTGTGTGTGTGCGCGTGCATGTGCCTGTATGTGTGTCTGTGTGTGCGCCCGTGAAGAGCTTAATTGCGTTGCGTCTCCAGAAATAAAAAGGCTCCACTTCAGAGCTCGACGAAACACTCCACACGATCAGGGACGTCGCAGCTCCTCAGCACCGGCACCTGATCACACGTGTGCAGCGCTTTGTGCACTAAAACAAGTCACAAATCTAACTCTAGCATAAAACAGCAAGTTTAGCATGAAAAAGCTAGTCTGAAATAAAAAAAATGTGGTTTCCGTTTGGTAAATTCTGACGTCAGTTAAAATATTTGCACAGATGCACTACTGAGGTCGGCAGTGTTCGTCCTCAGTGTTCGTTGTACAGTCTGACAGCAGCAAGTCGCAAGAACTAAAGGATACGCCCGAAGAGACCGTTTTGAATATAAGCGACTGCCACTGTCTGAGAACACCCCGAGGCTACGAGAGGAAATTATACCAATCAATGAAGAGTGTAATTGTGAAACATGCGGTGTGTGTGTGTGTGTGTGTATGTGTGTGTGCGCTGAACGCTGAGTTCCTTGTTGTTGACACTCATAAACAAACAATGTCACAGGTTTTCATCCTGTAGGCGCCAAATGAGCTGGTCGACAGTTGTGTGTCCCGGTGATTTTTTACTTAAAGACCTTATGCCGGGTTTGATTTATTTAGAAATACAGTTTTAATACCATGTTATATTAGAAGAGAACTACTAAAGGTTTCAAAATCAGTTGTTGTTTTTTTTGTCTGATCCCCCCAAATCGAAATAACCCCATAGCAACGCCCTTAGAAACAAAAAAACTTCACAGCCCTTGGTGACGTCAGAGTGGGTACGTTTCAACGCTGTAAGTTGTTTACAATTTGGTATTCGTTCTTTTTTCGCGGATATTCAAGATGACAAGGCCGTGTACAGCGAGTCTGACATAAATACTAGATTATAACTCTTCATTGTCACTGAGATAGTCCAGTGGTTGTGTCGATGGTCTGTCAATCCAGATACTGGGTTTCAAATCCCAGCTCAGACACTTTTTCACTCTCAAAACGGCAATTTATGTGTAGTGAGCAGTTGTCACCTGTAGAGGGCAGTATTGTGTTGGGCATCAGTGGAGAGAAGAGAGAAAAGGCAGTCCTGTGGCATAGATCCATGGTTTTCAATGCATGGGCGTAACCCGCTGTGACGTCACACACAGGTTAGAGCATAGACAACTTAAATTAATGAAAAACACGTTCTTTTTATAAAATATAGGAATTTTTTTTCCGGAATATTTTTCAGATCGACATTTTTATGCAATTTTGATATCCACAATTTTTTTTTTTTAAACCCGGCATAAGGTCTTTAAAGATCAACTAAACACCAGTGCCCAGCCTGACTCCGCCCCCACATGAAGGCGGGGCTTAGAGTTGGGCGCGGTCCTAGCTGTGATTGACACATCAAACCCGCACCTGACATATATTGTATGGAGGAAACCATAAATCAGTATTTTTGTCTTATTACCTTTTTCAGTATTACCTTTTGTCAAGAATTATGTTTTTGTGCATTGTCCTTAATCAAATAAATCAAATCATGTCAAAATCAATTCAGTATAATACAAAGAAAACATTTGTCACTTGTGTAGCAAACATATTTACATAAAATCCTTTTGTTTTAAATAGAACCGCACGGCTCTGGATATAATTGTTTCTATATGAAGCGGAAAGTAATTAAACTATAGACTGTAAATGTTAACGCTGTCGAAAGTAATGTGCCTCCACTTTTGGCTTCTGTGGGTTTTTTCAAAATGGCCGCGGGGCAGGAAAATGTGAAAAAACGCATTAGCGCATGAGTTACTGCACTAGCCCTATTTATTTAACGAGTGCATTCAAAAGTCCACAGCGACTAAACTAGACTGGTCCAAAAAACAAACGCAAAATTTCACCTTAGCATTGACACACATCTGGAACGTAGCTTTGGGCAAGGAGCCACTTTTGGACCATCCTATAAAGACATTTTCAGATGAAAGAAGACGCCATACGAAAGCATTGGATAATTCTCTTTCCAGGTACACCCCCACAGACAAGGCGTGAGATTGTTGCATGTCAGTGCATGTGCTCATGGACCTTTTGGATCCGGTTCCGGCCCACACTGGAACAAATTCAATAGCGTTTCATATAAAAATACATTGCTTTTAACTGGTTAGAATAAGTCTGTCTGTCTGAAGAGGTGCTAATTGTCCACCCAGTGGGGGCGGGTCCCAGGTCAAAAGTGGTGCAATACCACCCCGGGCCGATGGGGGTGGACCCGGAAGAAGAATTATTCAATGCGAACATATAGCATTAGCTGACCTCTGGAAAACGTCTTTACAGGATGGTCCAAAAGTGGCTCTTGGCCCAAAGCTCCGTTCCACATGTGTGTCAATGCTGAGGGGGTGAATTTCTTTGGACCACTCTGGTTTACTCGCTGTGAGTTTTTGAAAGCCCTCGTTAAACGAATGGAGCTCTCGCCGGCTGAGGCATGCACAGATGCGTTTTTTCACAATTTTTTTGTGGCCGGGACAACTCACGGGCCAAAAATAGTGCTCTACTGGAGCTATCCAAAATGGCCTTTAGTTTGAACGGCGGAGATAGGCGTGACTCTGTCTGTTAATATTTACAATCTATGTGTCCACCGCCGTGAGTCACGAGAGCCAGGTCCTGTCTGCTCACTAAATGGAAATGAAGATCCGCTGCTCTCAGAATATATTACTACAATTAGTCAGTGATAAATGGTGGATTTGTATGGAGAATTTCAGGACAAAATATTCAGCCAATAATAGGAAAAATGTAGGGACTCTTCACTGAATAAGAAAACACACTTATACATGGAAAGAACATTGTACAATATTGCAACATTGTAGAGGGTGGGACCAGAGAGAGAGAGAGAGAGAGAGATCACAGAGAGAGACCAGAGAGAGAGAGAGAGAGAGATCACAGAGAGAGAGAGAGAGAGAGAGAGAGAGAGAGAGATCACAGAGAGAGACCAGAGAGAGAGAGAGAGAGATCACAGAGAGAGACCAGAGAAAGACCAGACACAGAGAGAGAGAGAGAGACCACAGAGAGAGACCACAGAGAGAGACCACAGAGAGAGACCACAGAGAGAGACCAGAGAAAGACCAGAGACAGAGAGAGAGAGAGAGACCGGAAAGAGACCAGAGACCCGAGAGAGAGACAAGGGAGAAACCACATAGAGACCCAGAGAGAGAGAGACCACCAAGAGAGCACACAGAGAGAGACTAGTGAGAGACTATTGAGAGACTGGAGAGAGACACGAGAGAGACCAGAGAGAGACCAAAGAGAGGGACTAGAGTGTGACCAGACATAGACCAGAGAGTGAGACCAGAGACAAAGAGGGTACAGAGAGAGAGTGAGAGACAGAGACACCAGAGAGAGACCAGAGAGAGAGACCAGAGAGAGAGAGACCAGAGAGAGAGAGACCAGAGAGAGAGACCAGAGAGAGAGAGAGAGAGACCAGAGAGAGAGACCAGAGAGAGAGACCAGAGAGAGAGACCAGAGCGAGAGACCAGAGAGAGAGAGAGAGACCAGAGAGTAAGAGACCAGAGAGAGAGAGAGATCACATAGAAAGACCAGAGAGAGAGAGAGACACCGGAAAGAGACCAGAGACCCGAGAGAGAGACAAGGGAGAAACCACATAGAGACCCAGAGAGAGAGAGACCACCAAGAGAGCACACAGAGAGAGACTAGTGAGAGACTATTGAGAGACTGGAGAGAGACACGAGAGAGACCAGAGAGAGACCAAAGAGAGGGACTATAGTGTGACCAGACATAGACCAGAGAGTGAGACCAGAGAGAAAGAGGGTACAGAGAGAGAGTGAGAGACAACGAAACCAGAGAGAGACCAGAGAGAGAGACCAGAGAGAGAGAGAGACCAGAGAGAGAGACCAGAGAGAGAGACCAGAGAGAGAGACCAGAGAGAGGGACCAGAGAGAGAGACCAGAGAGAGAGACCAGAGAGAGAGACCAGAGAGAGAGACCAGAGAGAGAGACCAGAGAGAGAGAGACCAGAGAGAGAGAGACCAGAGAGAGAGACCAGAGAGAGAGACCAGAGAGAGAGAACAGAGAGAGAGACCAGAGAGAGAGACCAGAGAGAGAGACCAGAGAGAGAGACCAGAGAGAGAGACCAGAGAGAGAGACCAGAGAGAGAGACCAGAGAGAGAGACCAGAGAGAGGGACCAGAGAGAGAGACCAGAGAGAGGGACCAGAGAGAGACCAGAGAGAGAGACCAGAGAGAGAGACCAGAGAGAGAGACCAGAGAGACCAGAGAGAGGGACCAGAGAGAGAGACCAGAGAGAGGGACCAGAGAGAGAGAGAGAGAGACCAGAGAGAGACCAGAGAGAGAGACCAGAGAGAGAGACCAGAGAGAGAGAGACCAGAGAGAGACCAGAGAGAGGGACCAGAGAGAGGGACCAGAGAGAGAGACCAGAGAGAGAGACCAGAGAGAGAGACCAGAGAGAGGGACCAGAGAGAGGGACCAGAGAGAGGGACCAGAGAGGGAGACCAGAGAGAGAGACCAGAGAGAGGGACCAGAGAGAGGGACCAGAGAGAGAGACCAGAGAGAGGGACCAGAGAGAGGGACCAGAGAGAGAGACCAGAGAGAGGGACCAGAGAGAGGGACCAGAGAGAGGGACCAGAGAGAGGGACCAGAGAGAAAGAGACCAGAGAGAGACCAAAGAAAGGACCCAGAGAGAGGCATCAGAGAGAGAGACCTGGGACCAGATGGAGACAACCATTAAAAGTGAAGTATCTTAAACTTGTGGCTGCATGGCTGGGCACCTGTGCACCTCGCTCTGCTATATCAGGTCAAGATCTGAAAATAACACAAACTTGTTTTCAAACTCTCGCTTGTTCTTCCGTGCAGTTAGTCGTAGAGTGGCCTTGTCTTGCTGCCACATTCCGGAGTCCCTGAGGAAAAAGCCGAGGACAGCATTTGTGTGCGTTGAAAAGCATATGGTTGTATCTGCAGTCTCACAAAGATGAATAGAAGAAAAACATTCACATAAAACAATGATATAAAGGTAGAACTGGGACTTTACATTCTTACTTACTTTGTTGTTGTTAAAAATCAGAAAAAGCATGATGTTTGTAGCCACACCTGCATGTGAAAGCCTTGTCCCGGAAAATCCCTGAACTTTCCCTGGGCAGGGCCTGGTTAGCGCTGTGATGGGAGACCTCTGGGAACACCAGCTGCCACAGTGAGGCAGGTGTGAGTTATGAGGATTAAGACAGAAGTTTATTATTGACAAGGAAAGTCCCACTGAGATTTCAGAATCTCTTTATGAGTGGAGTCCTAGCCCCAAAGAGAGGGGAGCTATTGAACATGTGTATAGTGGTGGGAGAAACCGGAACACCCGGAGGAAACCGGAGTACCCATTCCAAAGACACAGCGATCCAGGATCTTTTTGCAGAAACTCAAGAGTGCTAACTACTCAGCATTTTCTGATAACAAGTATCCAACGTATTTTTCACATTTTCTTCATTCAGCACTTATAGATTTTGAGGATTGTAGATAAAACCTAAATAAATAACAACAGCCTTCGCCTCAGAGGACAGATCAGAAAATCATGCTGTTCAGAAACAGGAAATGAAAACATGGAGCCATCGGTTCAGGGACCGGGACGACCACTGTCCATAAATGTTCATAAATGTCCATGAATGACCTTATATGAAGCTATAAACAACACATGTCTGTTTTTGAAGAGGCAACAATATGGTAACACGGGTAAAGTCAACAAAAGATCATATTGTCTTTAAAGTGTCATCAAAAAGTAACAATTCTCGAGCTCGAAAACACTGAGCAACTTGAGTGGAGTCTCTTTGACAGTGCGCATGTCAAAGGTCAAGATTTTAATGATCAAGTGGCATTATTTTCAAGCTTTCTCCATTTCTACAAAACAAATCAACACACGGCACTCCCACTGTGCACGGCAACAAACCGCTGTGCACGCCAACACACGGCAACACACGCCAACACACGCCAACACACCAACACACCACTGTGCACGCCAACAAACCGCTGTGCAACACACGCCAACACACCACTGCGCACGCCAACACACCACTGTGCACGGCAACACACGCCAACACACCACTGCGCACGCCAACACACCACTGTGCACGGCAACACACGCCAACACACCACTGCGCACGCCAACACACCACTGTGCACGGCAACACACGCCAACACACCAACACACCACTGCGCACGGCAACACACCACTGTGCACGCCAACACACGCAAACACACCACTGTGCACGCCAACACACGCAAACACACCACTGTGCACGCCAACACACGCAAACACACCACTGTGCACGGCAACACACGCCAACACACCACTGCGCACGGCAACACACGCCAACACACCGCTGCGCACGGCAACACACCACTGTGCACGGCAACACACGCCAACACACCACTGCGCACGGCAACACACGCCAACACACCGCTGCGCACGGCAACACACCACTGTGCACGGCAACACACGGCAACACACCAACACACCACTGCGCACGGCAACACACCACCGGCTTCATTTTCCAGAATTATCATTTTAACTTTGATCCTTTCAGCGCCACAGAAGCCGTGTTCCCTTAAGGCCACTTTCACAGAGGTCTGAATAGTTTTCTCCAAACCCCCTGGAGCATAAAAGACACACTGTGGATTAGGTCAGTGTAGGAAAGCCCTGCCTATTCCCGGATTTACCCAGGGACGCCTCCACAAACACTAGGCCGCACACGTCAGGCCCGACCGCGCAGCTCCGGGGCAGATAAGTTAGTCTTACCATCATCCTATGTAAGCCAGGAGCGCTAAATTACAGCTTTGAAACCCCACTGGAGTTTGCGTACAGGAAAAAAGACTTAAGCCTCAATATAAATCTGATGATACAACGGGAAGCTCGTGTGGAAGGGAGAAGAAAGAAGAGGGTATTTTTGTAAACATAACCAAGGGTGAAGTCATGGGGTCGGACCAATAGACGTTCTAACAAGCTGACGTCGGCTAGAGTGATATTCCATGACTCCTGCAGTATATCTATAGAGTAGAGTACTAACCTAGCCTGGTCTTACCACACCATTGCACTAATTTCATCTCATACTAAGGTCTGGTTCTGCTCCATTGACTCCGTGAACAGGTGGGAGGGGTTAACTCCTTTTGCAGATTGAAACGATTGGATCTGAGTTTACCGTAACGTATGTAATGAGCCGGAGTGAGTCGTTAGCATTTAGCCTAGCTTTAGCATGTAGCCTAGCTTTAGCCATCTCCTTTGCCGCTAACGGAGCCCGTGGGGAGTAGAGCCACAACATCTTTGCTTCAATGACATTTACTAAACATTCCTCTTGCTCCGGCTTCAGTTTCTTGATATTTGGATTGAACCAGAACAGATTATTTTACTATCGCATTCTCCGACAAACTACAACCAGAAAATTCGACACAAACTCTTGACGTCACCGACACGACCTACAACACCCGCCTCCCCCGCTCTCTGATTGGTCAATGTTTGTTTTTCTTGTGAATGTAATCAGTACAAATACATTCGAAGAGTTCAGAAATTCCAACAAAGGTAAAATACCAGTAATAAAAACACATTAATCAAACATATAAGTTAAAAATCAGATAAAATAGATAAAATAATAGCACATTATGATGGAAGGACTGGGCGGGTCGTCCGTTGGCAATGAACACATTACTATACACCTTATACTTATCTGTGCCAATGCCTGAAATAAATGAAGAAATCAAAAATGACAATGAAATGAATGAACCGCGCTCGAACGTGACGTCATTTGCAAGAAAACTATAACACGGAATCCCACTGGTTTGAATGAGAGCAGTCAAAATGACGGCTCTGGGAGTTCTAGTGGTTTGATCCTCGGGGGAGTCCTGGTGTTAAACAATGGACTAGTCTGACAACAGGAAGACCATACTCCCGCACACGTGTCCTGTTTTAAGGATTTCAATTACTTTACGTCCAAATTGAGCTCCGCAAAATGAGCTCGCCTTTAATTTACTTAATTCACTAAACACAAACACACGCAAACGAGAAGCTGCAGTTAATTAGATGGAATGTTAATAGCCAAGGCCATGCTGTGTGATTGTTCTCTCCAAATCTCCAAATAATGATATCAGGTGTAAAAAAAAAACAAAAAAAAACTCGGGTCTGGTTTAGCAGTCGCCGCTCGCCGGGGGGAGTTTCGCACACGCTGTATTTCACCCTCAACGAAAAGGTCGAGCATTTAAATAAAAAGTCAATAAACCACTTTAAATAGAAAAGGCCAGCGTCATTCCTCCTACAACTTGTTTATCCTCCCGCTTTGTGGCCGGACCATCTCGCCGTGTTATTGATGGCTCTTTCCCCCGGCGGGCCTACCCCACGCCAGCCAGATTTATGAGCGACGCGAAGCCCGCAGTTTAATCTTTCAATGAGACGTCGTAATAAGGCCATAAAGCACCTGCCCAACCAGACGAGGGCGACCGACCCGGCATGGCAAAGCACGACCTGCCATTTACCAGCCGCGGACGAGGCAGCCCCGGCAAATACTTAGACAAGAGACGCACACGAAGGGACGGACGGTGAGGATCCAGGATATTTATTGGTGACATTGATGGACGGTGGGGATTGGCGTCGATGTGTTTGTTATTATGGCATTTGCTGAGTTGGATTCTCTGGGCGGCACGGTGGCTGAGGGGGTTCGAATCCCGTAACAGGGCCTTTCTGAGTGGAGTTTGCATGTTCTCCCCGTGAAGCACTCCTCCGGGTGCTCTGGTTTCCCCTACCACTAAAAACATGCACAATAGGTCTGAATGTAAATGAGAGAGTGAATGATCAGAATCAGAATCAGAATCATTTTTATTGCCACGTGAGTAACAAAGTTATCACTTGGAAATTGTTTTGGCAGAGAGCGTGCCACTTCGCCATTTGCGGCGCTGTGTGCAGCAAGAAACAGCAGAGAGCAATAACATACAGTTCACAGACAATTGGATAGACACATTGTGCTTTTTATAAACCACGGATTTTTTTCTCGGGAAGAGCACCTCTTCGGCCGGCCCAATGTAGCTGTCAGAGGGGGGCGGGATCAGGGAGGGGGTGAGTAGGAAAACAATAAGGAATGGAGGGGAGGGAGGGAGCAAGATGGATAGGTAGAGGGAGGCGGGGGTGGGGGATCCTTGCTGAAGACTGAAATAGTGTGAGTTGTTGTAGATTGTGGGACCTTGTTTATGGCCTTGGCTGAGGAATGTGAGATAAGAGTGGAGAGAAGCCACAGGAGGAGAAAAACACATCGCCTGCAATGTCGCAGTCAAAAGCAGGCAGATATTCTATTAATTCCAATTAAACCGAATTCCGGTGCCCTCAGACCTCCGTACACAGGGGCAAATCCAAGCCGGGTCAGAGAGATCAAGCCTGACAAACAATGTCATTCAATCTCAATTCCAAAGTCTTATGTCCATCAAGTGAACGAGCTGCGAGGTCTTTGATCAACTGTTCCACCAAAACCACCCTTCTTTGTCCAGACACGGCACTCTCAACCACGACACGGCTAAGCTCCTTGTACATCCCATCAATTTTATCGGCCAGCAGGTCGTGAATCTTGCGAACTGCCATGCCTCCGAATTTGTGGTAGAAGAGGATCGCTCCAAACCCAAACAGGAGGATTCCCACCACCAAAATGCCAAAGATATATACGTCTTCCGAATCTTCAATGGACAGGGTCGACAGACAGAGGGGCTGCCACTTGTTCCAGCTGTCAAGCGTATACCCCGCTGGTGAAGTCCCGTCCGGACACACGGGCTCTCCAGACCCACGCTTACGTGTTGAAAAGATAGAATCAATTGCGTTGAGGGACCATGATGATGTTGTTGCACCAATGATGGTGTTGGAGCTGATGGTCCAGTGTGTTCTGGACTCGCTTCTGTCATCACCGTGTGTGGAAGGATTGGAACAATATCTGACTCTGAACATTGGAAAGTGCTTTGGGTCTGACCTTGGTCTGTAACATGTGCTATATAAATAAACATTATTTACTTACTCTGATCTGCTGTTTGTACATCCACAACTTTGTATTTTTTTCTGAGACGACTGTGGTTGTGATGTAGGGCTACTTAAAGAAGTTCATTGAAAAGGCTGGATATTTGCGGATGGAAAGTGTCTTTATCTTTGTAGGAGACAGCTTTTGGCCTTGTTAAAACAGGTTTCTCTTCTGCCACAAGAGGATCTTTGTCTGTTGGAGCCCAGTCATAATCAAGCTTTAATGAATACTAATCAAAAGCAAATCTGAAAAAGTGTTTTTTTCACCTGTTCTTAAAAACATGAACATTCTCTGCGGCTTTTCTCCCGCAGTTTCAATTTATTCATGAAATAGACAAAAAGTTTATACAAGTCGGAAAGAAGATAAACCAGCAGGTTAGTGGTGACTCCGATTCCTGTGTGCAGTTTGCATGTTTCTCTGTGTGTGGCTGGGTTTCCTCTGGGTGCTCCGGTTACCCCTGCCTAAAGCATAGAGCATAGGTAAAATCCTCCAGCTCCGGTCCTGACCAAAGTTCCCGCGTGTATAGAAAGGGACAAGCCTGGTCTTACCATGTGTAAACTCTGGTCCATGATTTTCCTACATGTACGTCTGGTCTTACCATGTGTAAACTCTGGTCCATGATCATCTCCTACATGTACGTCTGGGTCTGATCCTAGTGGCTGCATTGTTTCCTCGGTTGAATCCTCTCCGACCAATCAGAGAGCAGGGGAGGCGGGTGTTGTAGAAAGGTGTGAGTTTGCTCCACATTTGCTGGTTGTAGTTTGTCTGTGAATGTGATAGTAAAATAATCTGTTCTGGTTCAATCCAAATATCAAGAAACTGAAGCTGGAGCAAGAGGAATGTTTAGTAAATGTTATTGAAGCAAAGATGTTGTGGCTCTACTCTCTAAAAGCTACTCTAACCCTAAAGCTAAATGCTAAAGCTAGACTAAATGCTAAAGCTAGGCTAAATGCTAAAGCTAGGCTAAATGCTAAATGCCTCACTCACTCCGCCTCATTACATACGTCACGGTAAACTCAGATCCAATGGTTTCAATCTGCAAAAGGAGTTAGCCCCTCCCACCTGTTAACCGAGTCAATGGAGCAAATCCAGACCTTAGAACAAATGAAATGAGTGCCATGGTGCGGTAAGACCAGGCCAGAATGTGACAGTTTATACATTTAGTACATCAGCCGACGACACTCCCACTTGACCTCTGGCTCTTTCCCGTCACACATGTCACAAACGCCACACGTGTAATTTTCAGCTTAAGACCCAGAACCACTCAGACCCTTTTTTATCATCGTAGCAAAATCCGGTAGTTCTTCTGTCAATCCTCTTTCTGGTGGAGAATAGATATGTTTCCCATCTGCGTTCCTCCGAGTAGCTGTTAATACTTTTAGAACATCGCAATCCAACACATGCAAATTTGACATTCGAATTAGCTATAGACATATTTCTTTATTTATACGATCGCTAAGATTCGTTTTTCTCTCCACACTCCATCTTAATTATCCATAATGCTCACTCTCTGAAGGCATTCGCACAGCTACGGAACATTAATCAACAAACCTGTCATCTGCGATCACGATTATGACGTTTTTTTTGTGTGGTTAAAATACATCTCTGTTTATTCTCCCGCCTTCTGCACCTCCTGAGAAAGCTCTGCCGTTCCATCTGTATGCATGGTACTTTTACAACAGCTGTTATTTGCATATTTTTCTTTAAGAACATGACATTTAGCTTGTTTTTTGAGCAATTATACGTTGGAAAAGTCCAAAGT